TGATACTCATTCATATCGATTGATTTTAATTACAAAATATCTGATTTTCGACCGCCAAATGGCATTTTTTTTTAACTTTTATTTCTGGATCTCCGAAACCGCTGGTCCTGCCTTTTCAAAAACATAATCAATTCTTTATTACGTAAGTACAAATGGAATGTTTTTTGAATCATGCTAATCGGATGCTCTGTACTTTTACGACTGGACCTGTCTTTGTCAAAAACTAATCAGCACGTCTCCTTAACAATAGGAATCGAATAATCTTTGATTAATTCAAATCGGTTGAGCGGTGCTTCCGAAAACGTCGACGAAAAATTGTATCCATACATACATACATACTACATGCACACATATACACCCTTCAATTTTTTCAAGGTATACCAACATGTTCAGAAACCTTTGAAACATAAAGATATATAAAATATTTCATTTTCGATTTGTGGACGATTACTATAACTTATCCTACGGAAAGTTAAAAAAAAATGTATTTGTATGACGGTTTGAGGGATAAAAATGATAAATAATGTCATTAAGTTTGTAAAAGAATATATCAACAGATTTGAATAATTTTCAACAACATTTGTTTTGAATTTATTAGTTACATATTTGCAAAGTCAAATGCAGTGGTTTTAAAGATACGAAGATCAAAGTGCAAAAATTGTCTTCTGAATGACAAAAATTTTTTTTGTCGCATTTTTTATAAATTAAATAGCATATGCATAATTTATTCTCAAATTTTTAGATCCATGCCATCATGTTCAATATCCTGTATTCTACTTCAAACTATTTTAACTTTTCAAGTATTTTGTGCAAAAATAAATATGCTTAAATGAAAAAAATATAACTTATTATATATAACATATTGAAGATAAACCATTTTACTACTAGATATAAATAACTTGCTTGAAATAAAAATAAGTTTTTTTCAGTTTTCTGGAATCCGTGATATTAAGCTAAACTTTTCAAATTGGACTTTTAATTTTAAAATTCAAAAATTCTTGTCGATATTTTTGCCACGTATTAAAATGTCTGTAGCGAATTGTCTCTTCTGCAAGTTTTATAATTAAGCAATTAGTAATAGTTTTTGAAAACTGGATGACAAATTATGTTTTGGGTTCATGATTTCTATGATTGATTGTTGAAAAAGCGACTTTTGTTGCGCCAAAGTTACTCAATTGTAATTGTAAATTAAAAAGCGATAAAAATATTTATAATAAAAGTACAAAATATTAAATATGCAGCTGGAAACAAAAATTTTAAATGCTCTTATTCTTATAATAATGGAATAAATATAATTCTTTTTAATAATGGAAACTAATAATTCTACTTGAATGTGTTGAATTATCTTGTAGATATGTTTCCCAATAAGTAACTTTTCGTAGTGACTTAAGAAGATAAATTGGAAAATTTCAATTATATGATTATTTTTACCTACCCATAGGGTAAATTATAGTAATCAATATAATATAAATATAGTATAATTTGTATACCTATATCTTTTTTGTTTCAGAAGTTTCAACATTTTGACATACCTTAGAAAAACGTGTATTTGTGTCTGTATGTGTATGTGTATGTGTGTGTCTGTGTGGAAATACAAATTTTGTCGACGATTTTGAAAACACAGATTAACCGATTTGAATAATTCAACAACGTTCGATTCTTATTAATGAGGAGATGTGCTGATTAGTTTTTGGTAAAGGCAGATCAGGCTGTTACGAAAATATGGGCCAAAAAGTGCCAAAAATGGAAATTGAGATTTTGAGAGAACGGGGCGTCCGATTTGAAAGATTAAAAAAACATTTTATTTGTATTTGGCTAAACGAGAAAATTTCAAAATTCTATTTGAATTTTTCGACAAAAATGATCATTAGACACATACACATCAAATTATTACATATTTTATAGATATTTTAGTAATAAAAACAAATTTTGTTTGCTTTTCTATGGGTTCCGTACCAATGTTTATCCATAATACTTCGACGCGGCGCTTCGATATTTCGTTCTATGTATCGCGATTGCTTTGAAAAAAATTTCAAAACTTACAAAATATTTCAAGGCATAAAAAAGCAAATTTTTCAAATGGTCAATTTTTATTCAAAAATATTAAAAATCTCAGAAATCAGTTTTTCATAGTGCTAAAAAAATATGAATATTTTAAAAAAAATTATTTTTGGTAGGGGGGGTGTTCCAGCAATTTGCCTTAAGGCACGATGTTTTGGCAACGGGAAGTTCCAGCAATTTTCACGATGCCATGCACCATTAGTTCTGATTTTTAATTCTCAGAAATTGTAAATGATGTATTGCGTTAAGTTGAGTTTTCCCGTATAAAAAATTCTTGCTAATTGTATTAGGCCGCCGACTCGCACAGCAAATACGCAAGCCAATAAAACTTTGTTTTAAAAATTCATTTTCATTTATTTGTACAAAGTGTAATTTTGATACGTATGTGTCAAAACTCTATTTATATATAAAAATAATAAAATTAGTACAATTGACCTTGTGGCTTCAGGTGCAACACTCTTTAATAGCTTTAATTAATATATATATATATATATATATATATATAATATATATATATCATGAAACTATATTTTCATTTACATCAAATTTGTACAATTAACGCAACTAAATAATATAAGAATTATTAATTCCATAAAAAATCTGGTTGTCACCACGTTCTATCACTATATTCTGATCACTTCAATAATCGATCTATCATGGACTTGCTTCTATGATAATTCTTTTTTTTCACGTAAACACGCCTTTTTATTGCGAATAATCAAATTCATGTATGATAATAAGTGAAATGCTTGTCTGATGTGAAAGTTTGAGAAGCGAAGAAGAAGCTAACTTGTTTATAGAGAGAGACCTGTTCAAATGATCTGGCGTGTGATCAAGGTTCGACAGTCAGAGTTGACATGAAATAAGGCATGGAAGTTATTGTTGAACAAGTTAATAACAATTCATTAAACAAAACAATTTGAATCGAACACACTATATTAGTGATTGCCATTTTGTGCCTGAATTAATTGAGATTGTGATACTTAACTGAAAAGTGATAAAATATTCTTGCCATGGCGGTCACAATGGTTGTTCTCGCGGCTTCCCTGGGAATGTTGTTATTTTTTAAAACGGTTTCGTGTAATCCGGTAATTGCAGGTAATTATTATATTTAAATAATTTTATTTATTATATTGTTAAAAATATTTTAATAATTGTATTTTATTTAATTTTATAGAATATTTTAATTAAATTAATTTTTAAGCTTGAATATATGTTT